GCATATAATTGATACTCGCTCCTAAATCACATAAGGCTTTTCCAAAAAACTTTTCACTAATAATACAAGGTATAGTAAAATTACCAGATCTTTTAACTTTTTAAAAAGTTTTTTTTCTGAATAATAGCGCTACACTCTTCACTGAATGCAACGGTCTCTTGATCTGCAAACTTCCTTTTCTTGTTTAGTATATCTTTCATAAATTTCACATAACATGGCATTTGTTCCAAAGCCTCAATGAAAGGAATGTAAATTGTTTATCTTTATTCTTTTGCTTCAAACTTTGAGAAAAGGGAGGTAGTGGTTTTCCTAAAGGAACTTGTATTGGTTCATTTTCATTGTGGTCGCTTTCAATCTCTTTCTTCTCCTCCTCAACTTCAATTTCTCTTTGAATTTTTGTTTCTACCTCTTTTCCACTTCGTAATTGAATAATTTTAATTTCCTCATTATTTTGATATTTTGGATTAACTTCCACAGTACTCGAAAGAATTCCTGAAGGTCTGTTACTAAGTGCAGTAGCAATATGTCCTAATTGATTTTCAATATTTCTAATAGCAGCCCCTTGATTTTGTATTTTATTTCTAATATTCAACATTACTTCTTCTATCGTCAACTTCTTTTACTTAACTTGTGGGTTAGGGCTAGAGTTAAATCCAAGAGAAAAATAAGGTCGATAATTAGGATTTAATTGGTTTTTTAAATTTCCTGAGGGGTTCATCGAATTGTTATAATTATTTCAACTAAAAGTATGGTGATTTTTCCATCTAAGGTTATAATAATTAGAATAGGGATTGTTATTTCAATTATTTATAGCATTCAAAGTTTCATAAGATTATTGAGTATCAATTATCTATCCTAGTAAATTTTTCTCTAATACTAGTGGTATTTGAGAATAGTTTACTCCAATTTGATCAATTTTTTTCGATATAACAACAATTTGAGATGTTAAAATAGACATTGCATCAAAGTCATAAATACTGGCTACTTTCTTATGATTTATCCTTTCAGAGGACCATTGAAAATTGTTAGTAGTCATTTCTTCTGTTAATGTGTATGCTTCATCAAATGGTTTTGAAATTAATGAACCTCCAGTAGCAGCATCAATAATAGATCTTAGGGATCATACTAACCCATTATAAAATCTTTGATTAATTAACCAGTCTGGAAAAGCATCATGTGGGAACTTTTTAAAGAGTTCATTAAATCGTTCCCAGGCTTCGTATATAGACTCGCCTTCATACTGAGTAAATGACGTAATAGCATTTCTAAGGTTAGCAATTTTTGAAGGTGGAAAATACCTAGCCAAAAATTTTTGTGCTAATTCTCCCCAATTTCTGATAGATCCAGACGCTAATGAGTTTAACCACATATTAGCTTTATCCCTTAAGGAAAAAGAAAGAAGTCCAGGTTTGATTAAAGCCTAACAATATCATTAGACACTCCATCATATTTAAAAGTAGCACATATTTTAACAAAACTGCAAGATGTAAGTTAGGATCTTCAGTAGGTGTTCCTCCAAACTGATTATTTTGTACTAATTGGATAATAACAGGTTTAAGCTCAAATGAATTAGCAGCAACATCAGAATTTTGAATAGTCAAGTGAAGTTCATCTGCTGTCGGATTAGCATATTCCTTTAAATGTCTGTCGATTTTCATTTATTTGATTATCTAAGTTATTCATCATTTTGTTCAATTTTTTAACTTTTTTTGTTGTTTTCGAAGTTTTCTAATAGTACGTTTTAATTCTAAATAGTAAAACACTAAACCTTCAGATCCAATATCTCGCATAAACAAATATAATAAACAAATAAAAATTTCTTAAAAATACTCTTAAATATATAAATATATATACTAATTTTTATTATTTTTTATTTGTTTAATAATAATTTTTTAATATTTTATCTCAAAATTTCCTAATTTACCAAATCTATTTAATTTAATGTTACCTTCCCCGGCAACAGCGCCAAAAACTTGGTCCCTAAAATATAGTTGTGTTTGACTCCGCTTTACAACGATGCCAAAAACTTGATGTGTTATTTTATGAATAAAAAATTTAAACAATTTATGTTGGAATTCTACGCAAGTAAATGTATCGTTATAAAGTAATATAAGACTTTCAAATATCGATCCCACAAGGAAGGTTTAAATTTGAAATGATAAATTAACTAGGAAAATCACAGAAATAAAATGAAATTACTGTCACTAATTTTGAATTGTTTGAGATATTATCAGAACTAAATTATTAACTACAAGCAAAGCTAAAATGCAAAGTTTAAACAGTAATTACTAAACTATGTTCTATGTGATGAAGTTTTCTACTATGAAAAAGAATATTTCCCACTGCAATGAGTTTTTTGTAAAATGAGATGAGATAAATGGTTTAAATATGTATTGTGTCAAATAGGAGCAATTTTAATTATCTA